TCTATCACACAAAAGACTTTATTAGATGCATTGATGTTTGCAAAAAGCTTTCTATATTTAAACCCTGATCACATTAGATCAATCTTGCATTGCCGTAATTTCATGGAGGTGAGGTATGGGTTAAAAAATCTGATACGTGCAATTTTGATGTCCCACAAGGATCGTTTGACGAACCAGAAGTGAATGAGCTTGTTGGAATCTTCATATTAAATAAAATAAATAAGATCGTCCATATTGATTATTACGGATTATACAGGGATGATGGACTGATGGTGGTAATGGAAAATAAAAGAAACAGCGATTCAATCAAAAAAAAAAGACTACATAAAGTGTTCAAGACCTGAAATTCAATATTGTTGTAGAAACTAACAAAAATGTCGTCCAGTTTCTGTCAAAAGGAAGCATCTCACCTTTTATGAAACTGAATGCGACTCTAAGATATATCAATATGGCGTCTAACCATCCAACGAGCATAATTAAACAAATCCCGTTAGGAGTGCAATATAGGCTGTCGCAAAATTCTTCTACTGAAAATATATTTAACGAAATAAAAGAAGATATACGCATCGGCATTAAAAGAAGAAGGACATAACCCTAATCTGCAATTAAAAGAAGAGACGAGCCCGAAAAATGATAATCTTATTAATAATAAAAGAAAGAGAAACATAATCTGGTTAAATCCGCCTTTCAACAATAACATAATAACAAACATAGTGAAGATGTTTTTCAATATATTGAATAAGCACTTCACTAATACGTCCATACCACATAAACTATTTAAACGAAATACGGTCAAATTAAGTTATAGCTGCACAAGCAGTATGGGAAAAAACATAAAAAGAATGAATAGCAGAAATTGTAAGCTACATAATGTCGTAAAAGGCTAGATTACGACCTTCTGCAATTGTAGGACAATAAAATAACTGTCCTTTAAATGGATTATGCCGTACTGAACGAGAACTGAATATAAGGATCCTATTCAAAATAAGTCGACAAAACTTGTCTAAATTATTCAATGATATATATATATATATATATATATATATATATATATGTGTGTGTGTGTGTGTGTGTGTGTGTGTATTTTAAGATATATTTTATGTTTATACATTCTTTTTATAGACAAATAATTAAGTAAATGCTCTGTTTATAATAAACAGTATTAAACAACATTTGCCGGCCTGAATGTCCGAGAAATTTTCACAGAAAATATTCGTCCTCCGACAGGATTCGAACCTGTATCCTATGCAGAGGAGCGTTCGGTTAGCAAGGTTGAATTTACTGTATTTGAACGTCAATCTTCTATGAATCTCTCACGTACATACGTATCTCCTCTGTAGCCAAATCGGTTAAGGCACGTCAAGCTAAATGACGGTTCCGTATAGGATACAGGTTCGAATCCTGTCGGAGGACGAATATTTTGTGTGAAAATTTCTCGGAGATTCATGCCAGTAAATGTTGTTTAATACTGTTTATTATAAACAGAGCATTTACTTAAATATTTGTATGTATAAAAAGAAAGTATAAACATAAAAATGTCTTAAAATAACTGTCGGACTTTGTCCATTTCATTATATATATATATATATATATATATATATAGTTAAATTCCCTGATGAATTCTGTGGACAAGACAGATTGGTATATATATATATATATTAAAACTACCAATATTTATATTAAAAAAAATCAATAGGGTTTTATTCAAAAGCTACATAAGCAATTGAACGGTTAAGTCCGTTCTGTAAGTGTGAGTTGAATATTCTAGGAGCAGCAAATATATAAGAGCCAATTTAATGCTACCAATTCTGACACTCGGTTGGGGGTTGGTTTACGAGTAGCCGGAAATTGAAATTCTCAAAAACAAAATCGTTATTTATTCATTTATATATTATCAGACAGTTTCTCAGTTCGCTGCAGGGCACAGAATTTCCACAAAGACTGTTAGACACGAGGAACAATGGACATTACCCTGCCACGTTGGCCCGAGATGTACTGGCAGGTTGTTTGAGAGTTGTTCGTTGGGTGCTTGTCTGAGCTGGTTAAGTGTGGAGATTATCATGTCCTCTAGAACTGGAAGCTGTTCATAGTTTATGCGTCTACTTCATTGATTATCGACCACTGCGATACAGAACATTACGTCAGTGAGCCGTCGTGACTTATTGCAATACCGAGGATAACGCGTACAGTCTCCACAACCGTTTCGTCCATAATTGGGATGCCAGATAGACATAGAATCATGCAAAGTGAACGCAACTGATTCGGCCGGAATTTCAACTCGGTCTAGCGTTTCTAGATTTTCCGAGCCGATAAACATAACTATCTATCTTTCTTTTATGTTCAAATTTCCAGACATTTTGAGTAGCACACCTCACGCGCACACTCACACACACATATCTATATATCTATATATGCGTATGTCTTTCTCTGTGTGCGTACGTGAAAGTGTATGTATATACTTGTACATTGAGTAGCAACCCATCTGTAATACATGTTTCGTTGAATAAGCTTCACAAGGTAATTTGTTTGAATATTGTGATTATGTTTTCCTTGTTTTTTTTTTTTCTGGACTATTCAATGTAAAACTTTTCCAAACGTTTGCTTAAACAATTATTACATTCATTAAGTCAAGAAAATAACACGTACAGATACATGGAAAACATGATATAAAATAATGTACGTATAAGAAAAAAACATAGTATAAAATGATGTACATATACAATGAAAATATAGTTTTAAATAATTTATATCTACAAGAAGAACTTAACATTATATAAAGTACGTATACAAGAAAATTTTCATATAAAAATATTCGTCTAATAGAAAAGCATTATTGAAAATAATGTATATATTCAAGAAAAAATAATATAAGTAATGTCGTATACAAGGAAAACAATATAAAATAATGAATGAGTACAAGAAAAAATAATATAAAATAATGTGGATATACGAGAAAAAATATAAAATAATGAGTGTGTGCAAGAAAAGCAATAGAAAATAATGTACGGAAAATAGAAAAACATAATATGAAATAATGTGCATATACCAGAAAAATATCATATTAAATAATGCATATATATCAAGAAAAATCATATAAAATAATGTGTCTACAAGGAAAGCTTATAAAATAATGTGTCTACAAGAAAAACTTCATATAAAATAATGTGTGTCTACAAGGAAAGCATATAAAATAATATGTGTCTCCAAAGAAAGCTTATAAAATAATGTGTGTCTACAAGGAAAGCTTCATATAAAATGATGTGTGTCTACAAAGAAAGCTTATAAAATAATGTGTGTCTACAAGGAAAGCTTATAAAATAATATGTGTCTACAAGAAAAGCTTCATATAAAATAATGTGTGTCTACAAGGAAAGCTTCTAAAATAATGTGTGTTTACAAGGAAAGCTTATAAAATAATGTGTGTCTACAAGGAAAGCTTATAAAATAATGTGTGTCTACAAGGAAAGCTTATAAAATAATATGTGTCTACAAGAAAAGCTTCATATAAAATAATGTGTGTCTACAAGGAAAGCTTCTAAAATAATGTGTGTCTACAAGGAAAGCTTATAAAATAATATGTGTCTACAAGGAAAGCTTATAAAATAATGTGTGTGTACAAGGAAAGCTTCATATAAAATAATGTGTGTCTACAAGGAAAGCTTCTAAAATAATGTGTGTCTACAAGGAAAGCTTATAAAATAATGTGTGTGTACAAGGAAAGCTTATAAAATAATGTGTGTGTACAAGGAAAGCTTCATATAAAATAATGTGTGTCTACAAGGAAAGCTTATAAAATAATGTGTGTCTACAAGGAAAGCTTATAAAATAATGTGTGTGTACAAGGAAAGCTTCATATAAAATAATGTGTGTCTACAAGGAAAGCTTCTTATAAAATATTGTACATATACAAAGCAGTCATAATACAAGATAATGTAAAGATATTGCAAAAGTTTGGTTTGACAATTTGTACATTCATTTCAGTCCAGAAAAGTTGACACTTTTAGACATACATGAAAAGCGTGACAAGAACTAACCAAAAGTTCCTCGTCAGTCTTGTTCAATGAAAAAGACCATATATATATATATATATATATATATATATATATATATATATATTTGCCTGTATTTGCCTGTATATATATATATATATATATATATATATATATATATATATATATGTATATACACACACACACTGGCTCGCGTACAAATACACACACGCCTGCATATTACTTAATACTATAAACATTATACATTTGTGGATACAAGTATGTTAGTAACCGAGAGAGTGAAGGAAAGAGAGAGATTATAGAATATATTTTCGCATAATTTTGAAATGTAAAAAATAAATGAAAAGAGGAAATGAAGATCGGCTTTATATTGACGTGATTTTACACACATGATTTTACATAGTGATTGAAAGAGAGAGAGAGAGAGAGAGAGAGAGAGAGAGAGATGTAGGGATTAAAAGTGAGAAAGATCTAGAGTTATGGAGGGAGTGAGAGTGAAAGCGAACTAGAAAGCATAAACACAAAACGATGAAGTGGGAGACATAAATATTTCACATGACTTGCGTGGCATATGTTTTACAGTAAAGACATCTGCCCGTGTGCACGGATGTTGGCACCAATCTTGTTAAGGTGGATATAATTATCACACTATTTAGGATTTGACATTTGTCTGTTTGCTGATTCCAAGAGGTAGCTTTTTAAAAAAAAAGACTCTCACGTTACGACAAGTGTTGTGATTGATGAATATCGATTAACTCTGCCATAATTAAAAAGCGAAAGAATTTGATTTTCACATTCAGTCCTTTATACTAAAATAATACTCAGTATGTTGATGAACTAGTTTTCTTGATCAAGACATTCACAATTGTCAAAATTAACCTTTCGACATCATAGGTGAATTTTTAACTGTGATGCCTTTATATTCTTCGACAGTTCAATTTCAGAAGTTATCATTAATTTTAGTTGAGAAGACATTTGCCTGAAGCAAATATATCTTGTTTTCACAACTGGAAAGCACAGATCCAACATCTTTCAAAAATAAAATTGAATTAATAGTTTGTATCTGTATTTTTGAGTGAAGTTGTTATTATTATACGACGATGCTGAATATTCTGTGATAATCTATTCAATAAACCTAGCATATAGAACAAAAAGCCACACGGTAGACTTTCGAATTCCATAAGTAGGATTCCGGATGTAATAGGTAGGGGATAAGAACATCATTATCGCGTGTATCAACAATAGGATTCCATTCGAGTTTCTTGGAAAGTTACAGAAGTTGACAGACACCCAACGAAGACTCGGAGGTAGTTAATGAAACTTTATAAAATCAAGAGAAGGGGGAACTGGTTAGAAAAAAATCTTCTAAGGAACTGATTTTCATTTTCTTCACCTATAATGGCGTTTTTCTTTTCATTATTTTCTTTCTTTAAAACTAATTTTCTTTTTCCTTTCTTCTATATAATTTCGCGTCTTATTTTTAATAATTTATTTTTCCTTTTTTTTCCTTTTCCACATTTTCTTTCTTTCTTTCTTTTCTTTCTTTCTTTCTTTCTTTCTTTCTTTCGTTTAAAATAATTTTTTTCCCCGTATTCATATCATTTCCCAGCATATATTAAACAATTTCACTATTCTATCTTTCTTTCTTTCTTTCTTTCTTTCTTTAATTTAAAATAATTTTATGTTTCCCGCATTCATATCATTTCCCAGCATATATTAAACAATTTCACTATTCTTTCTTTCTTTCTTTCTTTCTTTCTTTCTTTCTTTCACATCCCTTACTGATTTTTGTTTCTTCCTTCCTATCTCAATGGCTTTTTCTACTTGAAGCGAATTTCAGGATGACAACTGGAAGACAAAAACACACAAATATTCTTAAAATTTATAAAACCAAACACAAGAGTTTAATAGAAGCCTTAAGAATAATAACTCAGCCATTTTGATGGTAGAAATGAAAAGACAAAATCTTAGTTAACAAAAGAATCCTCAGCAGAGTGGAATATATTTTTCCTTCAAACGCAAATCAAGTAGAAAATGGGATTCAGCACATTCTTCTACTAACTACAATGCTCACAACCAGCTTATGCTTTTGACTAAAAAAATATATATATATATATATATATATATATATATATATATATATATATATATATATATATATATATATATATATATATATATATATTTATATATATATATATATATATATATATATATATATATATATATATATATATATATATATAAAAGAAAAAAAGAAAAAAGAAACAAACGACCAGGGTAATTCTGAAAGATAAAGTTTTACAAACCGTCTTTGTAATTAGAGTGCTCGATATTAAGCAAATGAACATTAACAGTAAAAAAAAAAAATTAAAGAAAATACAAATTAATAAATTTCAAGGGAAAGTAAAAAATTATCCGTACTTTGGCTTAAAGCTTTTTACTTAACCTCGTATATATATATATATATATATATATATATATATATATTACGATATATCATTTACAAATACATGAATTATTCACACAAAAACTAATGCAAAGGTTAATGATTTAAATGGCGAGACACCCATCATCGCAAACAATTCAAATAATATACAAAATCCTCCGTATCCGTTATGAATGAAATGATCCTTGTTTATATAAATTTCTGCCGTATTAGTTCTTATTTTTACTACAAGCTATATATATATAGTTCATGCCACTTTGACAGACTGGTAAATTTTTCTGTCAAAGTGGCATGAATATATATATATATATATATATATAGTTCATGCCACTTTGAGAGAAAAATTTACCAGTAAAAAATTCGTTCATCACCATATATGAACGCACAACCTTTAAAAATTTAAAATCAAACTCAGAGTTGCTTTTGCGCGCTCCAAAAACAGTAACTCTTTTTCAATAGTATTTTCGGATACAACAATACATATATTTTCGTTGTCCTCTTATTACTAAGAGAAAAAACAAGAACAACATCTATTCTATACCTGAAGATGTCTGTAGGAACAGACGAAAGCTTGTAGTAAAAATAAGAACTAATACGGCAGAAATTTATATAAACAAGGATCATTTCATTCATAACGGATACGGAGGTTTTTGCATATTATTTGAATTGTTTGCGATGATGGATGTCTCGCCATTTAAATCATTAACCTTTGCATTAGTTTTTGTGTGAATAATTCATGTATATATATATATATATATATATATATATATATATATATATATATATATATGGAAAGAATTAAGATAAAATATGACAGTTTATACATGCATTAAATCCAGAAATATTGACACGTTTATGCATACATGAAAAGCAAGACAAAAACTAAGCAAAAGTTAGTCTACAGTCTTGTTCAACGAAAAAAGACCATATATATATATATATATATAAATAAAAGTGAACATTGTACTCAACACTTATAGACGACAGGCTGTTTCATGTTAGACACAATCGTCAGGCCAGACGATTGCGTCTAGCAGGAAACAGCCTGTCGCCTCTGCGTGTCGACTTCAATGTTCACTTTTATATTTATATTTACATATCACTGATATTGAACACTTTATACCGTAAATATGGCACACCTTAAAATCTTTTTCATTCATAAATATATATATATATATATATATAAAACATTAGGCAGCATATATTTATATACAAAGAAATAATCACACAGAGAATTAATCATCAATATTAATTAATATATATATATATTAATTGAACTATATACTTATTTCATGACATATTAACTGAAAACACTTGTAAAAATAGAATACGTGGATTTACCACATCACAAAAAAAGTTAAAATAAAAATTCTCATTTAAAATTTTGAAAAACTTGCGTTGCGTTGCGTTGCGTTTTTGCACGTTCCGATATTGTACACAACCGTCAATAATAGCACATTCTCAAAAAACATCTTTCGGTCTGCAAACAATTATTTTGTCTCTCTATATATATATGTATGTATGTATGTATGTATGTATGTATTTATGTGTGTGTGTGTTTATGTTGACATGATTATACACGCATAGTCATTGAAAGAAAGAAAGAAAGAAAATAAAAGAAATAGAGAGAGAGAGAGAGAGAGAGATGCAGGGAGTAATACCAAGAAAGCTCTTATAAATCAGCCATTTTATTGGTAGAAATAAATAGACAAAATCTTAGTTAACAAAAGAGTCCTCAGTAGAGTGGAATATATTTTTTATGAAGGTTGTCACTTAGGTGATTGGTGATACCTTCTGCATCCCGGTTCTGGATTTTCGGAGACGGAGCCTCCTGTAATCACTCCGTTTACACGTCATAAAATATCCTTTAAAATATTAGCTCTGGATTTACATTGAGCTCTCAGGATTTCATCCTCCTTGGGATTACCAAGTTTTTTCATAAATTAAATATTTATATATTGTTATGGTCCAGGTTAGGACCAAGGAAGAACAACACGAACACAAGAGTAGAAATAACGAAGGTATATTACACGAAATAATAATACAAGATGTGGAAGGTTTTAGTATGACAAAGTCTGGTTTGAGTGAACTACTATCGGCTCGATAGATCCGACCCTCTCTCTTGAGAGGCGTTGTATATTTATAGTGTTAGGAAGAGTTCATTCTGTAGTTAAGGTGGGATTGACATATATATATATATATATATATATATATATATATATATATATATATATATATATATAACAACGTGTGTTAGCTCGTGCGATACCCTGTCTTCATCAGCCGCTGACCAGGGTTGATATCATCATAGTTTCGGTGGCTGTGGCGGGACCTTCACCCTGGCGCCACCAGCAGCGTTTGCCACCAGGCAGGGTATGAAGATAAGCTAATTAATCGTTCCTTTAAGTAAAATCTACCTGCAATGAAAAGTTTCCTGAACGCGTTTGCCGTTATTTACGCTCGTAAAAATCGTTATAGACGACACGCAAATATCTTTTTGTCTGGTATATATATATATATATATATATATATATATATATATATATATATATATATATATATATATATATATATATAAGGGGTGTGTGCGGGAACCTCGGCGTGGTGTAATGGTTAGCAAACTTGTCTGAAAAAAAACTGTTACGACTGAATAGTGAGTTCGGCCTTGTGCCACATCTGCGTCTATTTAGAAAATCAATATATATATATATATGTGTGTAAAAATGTGTTTATCGTGGAATATTCAATTTAACGAACTAACAGAGAGGGTCTTCTGTTTGTCCGTTAATTTGAAGCACTTGAAATACCTAGTACAGTATAAGATTATTTTTAAATAAACGTGAATACGTATATATGTAAGTGTATTTTATTTTTAAGTTACAATATAGTAACTGAAAAATAAATTGCATCAAGAACTTTTTTTTGCACAGATAGAGAGATAGAAAGATGCTGTTTATGTTATGTTTTAAATTTATCTGATCGTATAGTACATCCTTACGGTAGTAATTACTGGAAGCCACGAAACTCCTCCGAAAACAGTGTTAGTGCTTGGGCGTGATGATAATGGCGTGCTGGTGGGTGAAAGTTGTGCGGTTGGTGGCGCGGGCGAATCGCTTTCATGAGCCGCCTGTTTCGGCCGGAAGAAAAAAATCCAACTTTGTTTTCCACTTTGATACTTTGATATTGTTCGTGAATTATCAATTCCCTCAATGTTGATAATTACGCGTTAATTTCCCGATTCTTGGTCACATCAAGAAATTTAAGTGGGGTTTTAATGGCCAATTCTTGAACTGACGGTCTTAGATCGCTACGCACGGACGTTGTGATTTCCAGCCGGACACTAAATCCGGACTCCGTTAAACCGGAATGTGTGTGTGCGCGCGAGCGCGCGCGCGTGGGTATTTAGGCAGCATATTCTTTTTCAAACATGTTGCATTGAATAATATAGATATAATGTGTCTACTTATTTTTATACTGATCAATTCCAGTTGTCTAATCAGTTTCTTGATGTTAAGACAAAATTCATTAAGGAAGGTGCTGT